AGAGGATAATTGGTTAGACAATAATTTCATAAATTATGGGGAGTAAAACGTAAGATCCTCAAACTTTCCCAAACTCTTGTTATGCAATGATGTTTAGGTACTAAACGATGATGTAAAAAATTTCTATATATTATCATATTTGGTTATTAATTTTTTGCCCTTTCTAAAATTGCCGGCTCCGCCATTGATGCCAAACTTTTTTTTAGGTTTGAATACCTTTAATTGTAAAAGAAAATTTGGATACTTTATTTCTTCATTCATAATAGTCTATTATTTCATTTATGGTTGTGATTAATTTCAAATCTAGCACTTACAATATTTATTTAATTTACATTTATTGTCATTTGTTATTACTACTTTTGTTACATGGTAAAAAAATGTTTAGGTTGCTATATTTGAGCTAATGAATATTTGGTTTATGTGGTAGGAGAAATGTATCATAATTATGTTAAATACTCATTACCTTTTTATATAGTTTCTGTTTCTCAAATAACGAGGATAGTCAAATATCACAAAAAAGTGAATCCGTATGATAATTTCAACGAGTAACGTGTGAAGACAAGTTGAAAGTAAAAGCTCGAGTTTGACTTTTTATTTCTAGAATTCTACAGAAGCATTGCTGGGACAATTGGAAAGGAAGCTTTCATAGATCCTCAGGCAGTGTTGTCCTTACTCGTGACACAGCGTACACTGCTTATCTTTAGTTGAAAGGTTTTGAAAAGGATAAATTTCAGGAAAACCTCTTAAGTTTTGAGCATTACACATAAAACCCTCTTAATATTTAAACAAAGTTTCCTAAGTTTTAGCTTTCTTAGAGAAACCCAGAAGCCATATGTAACATTGAGCATACAGCATACCTGAAGTCTGACAACTTCTTTATAGAAAGATTGCATGGTTCTTTTCCCAGAAACATCCTTTCTGCAATAAAAGATATGAAACAAAATTTAATGATATCCAATAAATGAAAGGAGAGATAGAACTCCTAGGCTAAGGATGTAAAGAAGCTGGAAAGTTGAATCCATAGGGTCAGTTTGCAATTTTTCCCCTAAACCAGTTTTTAGCCTAAACAGGGTTCGGTTCTAGATTTCCGTTAAGCAAAGAACTTCAGTCAATTTGTGAAAATCTATTTGGTAAAATAGAAATAATTAGAGTGATCAGTTGCTATGTCAAGTATTCTAATAAGAAAAATGATGACTGCTTGAGTGCAAAATAATAGCAATGAGCTAACCAGGGTAATAAGACCAATGTTACAAAATGGAAATAGAAAATGTATTGAGATATATAAAAGAAACATACACATCAAGGAAAAAACTAGCATCCCCAAGGCATTTAACATTAGCCTCCTTAGGCATAAGTGCACGAAAACTGTCACAATGTATGTAAATCGCAAGACCACCAGCAGAGCATCCAGTAAGAAAAGCCTACAAACAGAAAAACTGCATTAAGATCATCACTGGTTCACTACACACACAAAAGTTAGCATCTGCATGTAATCAATTAGGAGTTTTTACACATTTTAAACAATTCACAACAAAAGAAACCAGGTCACGAAACCAAATAAACCAGAGAAGAAAGTTCTTCAAATGTGATACATAACAGTTAGTGTGAAAAGTAAATACCAGCAGGTCCACCACAAAGTGTTTTGCTGGAATACAAGTTAGCAATTGATTTAGTGACGGATTTCATGGTGACATAAGTATATAATATTAAATAAAAACTACACCGTTAATTTAAAGGAGTTACCTGCTTAGCCTTTCCAAGTCCCTCTGATAGTAGTTCCTCCATAATTGCTTCCCAAATCCGCTGGCCTCGGAAGAAGAGTTTTCTTCCACTCTACGCAACATCAAACACAGGGTTTAGCTCAGAAAAATTGGTGGCATTTATTTCCTTTCTACAAGTCACAAATGTACGCCACGAAATGAACCATCCATTATAGTAACTAAGATAATAGCAGTCTTCCCATATATGTACCTTGGCTTGAACTTCTGTGTCGCCAGAAAATGATGCACCATCACAATACCGTATCTTGACTCTGTTCCAGTTATAGAAATCTGAAGAATATAAGAAAACACGGGAATTAAAAATCTTCAATAATATTAAAAAGCAGTTGAATAATACCAGAGTCTAAATTATTAATCCTTCCTCCTCTTACTAATATTATGTTCTTTTGAATTGTGGCAAATACTAAGGATATAAGCATTGACTTAGATCGAGTTTAATTAATGTCTAGTACAAAGTGAGATATCAAAAAAACATGTCAACACTACAAGATCAACAAAATATCAGTGGAGGAACATGATTCTCTACCCCACAATACTAAACCAAGATAGATTTCTATAAGAGTTAAGCTCTCTTATTCTGTTCTACCATTTACATCTTCATCAAGGTATGATGCAGCAAGCTACGTAATCCAAACTTCAGAAGGTTCATTCTTAGATGCTGAACCACTAAGAATTCTCCGCAAAAAACAAGGCTATTACCTAGACCAACCCCTAACATAAGAAGAACAAAACTACAATCTTTCTCAGTTGCAAGGCTGCATGGTTTTGAAAATACGCAGCATATGACTATAAAAATAACATAAAAGAGATGAGAAAACATCTGATTATGATGGGACTAATAATTACAGTGGAGAAAGATAAGCCTCACAGATTCTGAAACACCTAACCAAAGAATTCTCACTACGTACCAGGGTTTTCAGATGGAGCTTGGCTTAAAATTCCAACAAAGGAAGCTTGCAGTTCCATGTAGTGTGAAGACCCCAGTGGTGTCCCTTGGCGATAAGAACATGAATCTGCACTGTCACACCAACCTCCACTCTAGAGCTTGAGAAATGCAATTAACGTGAGCGAAAGAACTAACAACATCCCCCCTCGCCAATTTTTTCTATGTAAAAACAGTGAGTCGTATATAAGTAAAACACTGAAAGTAAAGCTCAGCTAAAATTTTTAAAACAAAAGAAGTCATGTGGTTAAGCATATGATAAGAACACTGAGTAAGAAATTTGTCGATATTTTGGAGAAATTTACTTCAGAATTTTGATTTTCACTGCAATTTTAGTTCAGAATTCTGACACTTTCTAGCATTATCATTATGTATTCACTTTATGTCAATTGAACAGTTTTGCAAATTAGAGTTGTATTATCTTTGAAATTGGGAAATTTTGGCAAATTAGAGTGCTTATCATCTTCGAAAGTGGGATATTTTGTAAGTCATAACTTTGTACTTCAGGTTTAAATCTAATAGGATAGAGTTTTATTTACACCACTGGTCCTTTCTCATAGGAGATTTTAGGGTCATGGCAAAATCAATACTGAACTTCAGCTTCAAAACTTCTCAAAGAACTAATGGCTCAAATTGAAAAGAATCTTATAATCAAAGTCAACCTGAAGATCCCAAAGCAATCTCATTGGCATTTCTCTCTGTTTATTCAGCTATAAAAATAAGCATTAACAGCTTGAAATACTTCATTGAATCCTATGTAGCACCTCACATGAAGAGATCTAGATGATGAAAGTCTACTATTTCCTAGAAAATTACTAAGATATTGATGACAATGATGTTCCCTTTATATCTTAAATTAAAGTATAGAGTTTATTAGTTAAAAGTTTTATTTATGTCATTAGTCATGTACCTAATTTAGGGTCATCACATAACCAATAGTCAGCTTCAGAACCTCTCAAAGGACTAATAAATCAAAGGGAAAAGAATCACATAGTCAGAATTCAATCAGAAGATCCTGAGTAATCTCTCATTGATTTTTCTCTGCTTGTTCTTCTTGAAAGATGAGGGTTAACAGTTCAAAATACTTCACTAAGTACAATGTGACATCTACCATGAAGAGAACTAGAAGATGAAATATACTATATTTTTATTCAGGTAAATTTAAGAAACCCCCCTATATTTTTTAGTTGATTAAAAACCCAAATTTACATATTGAATCACATTGACTCCTTATTTTATTACTCATTTGATAAAAATACCCTCATTTTCCTGATTTTGAAGAGTCATAATGCGATAAATTACCAAAATCAGGACATCCCACAGTAAACCGATTGATCTTTTCTCAGCTTATTCAGCTCTAAAGATAACGATCAACAGTTTGAGATTACTTCACTACATTTTCCACAACTTAAAGTCTCAGATTTCTTTTTCCCTCAAAAACCACATAAAAACACACATTTCAATTACCTCTAAATGAAGAACCCAACTATCGGAGCCAGATCCAAATCCTCTCTGCAGATGATACCCCGGCCTACTCCCATCCAAGCAAACTGCAAAAAAATCACATTACTAAACCCTAATTTTCAACAAAAATCGAAACAAATACAGAAATTATCAAATTGTACCAGCTCCTTTCTCGTCTGCGTTTCTGATGAGAGTGAGATCGACGAGATTGGATCCTGAAGGGATCAAAGACTGAGGTTCCTCAGTGCTAGGGTTGAGGAACCAAGAAGTGAGAGTGAGTAGGAAAGCGATGAAGAGAATAGCGCCGGAGACGACGGCGGTAACGCGGATCCACCACTGGCGGAGGCGGTGGTAGATCGCTAGAGTTCCGGTCACCATCGCTCAAACTTCAGTGTCGTTCAAACTTGGTGTTGTTTTGACTTTTGGGCTGGGAATCTTCTTGGACGAACAAATTTTTAAAATAAACCCATTTATATTTTTAATTGCCAAAATACACCTACTTCAGTTTTATTTATCAAAACCAACCCATTTTGTGGCCACGTCAGTTTTTTAATGTCGTCTCTAAATAGTCAGGGTTGTCAACCCAGACTATTTAGCTATGTACAAGCTAAATTAGTCGGGGTTGGCAACCCTGACTAATTTAGGGGCAACCCCGACTAATTTAGCGTCATATCTAATTGGTCGGGGTTGGCAACCCCGACCATTTAGTAGAGGAAAAATTTCCTACGACAAAAATGGTCAGGGTTGGCAACCCCTACCATTTAGTAGAGGAAAATTTTTAAGTAACTATCCGGATTTTTTGTCCAGGAAATAACTTACCTGTGATGTTGTTATTAGTGTAGCGCCAGGATGGTCAATGAAGAACTGCTTATCATCGCGTAAATCCGCACCAACATTTTAACCAGTTTTGTATATGCTAAAATATAAAATCAAAATCTCTACAACATAACGAGCAAATTAAATGTCTACTAGCAAAGGTTAAATGTAACATTGTTTAGTTTCATTTGTAATGTACTTACCGAGCTTAGTTCCTACGAGCATGATAGGTACATTTGGTGCATAATGCCTCAATTCAGGAACCCACTGAAATTTGAAGCAAGCAAGAAAAGAGAAAATATTCAGATTATGTTAGTGTAGTCTATATAAAATCAAAATGCAATGCTAAATAGAAAAGGAAACTTGGATAACAGCAAAACCTTCTTGGATAAAAAATTGTAGGGGTTGCCAACCCCGACCATTTTTATCATAGGAAATTTTTCCTCTACTAAATGGTCGGGGTTGCCAACCCCGACCAATTAGATATGACCCTAAATTAGTCGGGGTTGCCAACCCCGACTAATTTAGCTTGTACATAGCTAAATAGTCGGGGTTGTCAACCCCGACTATTTAGAGGTGACATTAAAAAAAACCGACCCATTTCATGGCCACGCTGTTGACGTGACCACAAAATGGGTCGGTTTTGATAAATAAAACTAAAGTGGGTCTATTTTGGCAATTAAAAATATAAATGAATTTATTTTAAAATTTTGTTCCTTCTTGGACTCTTGGACTTTTGTGATATAACCCTAACCCTAACCCTATTAGTATTTGCAGATTGACGCTTATATTCCGAGAATTTTTACCTGTATACCCTGAAATCTACACTATTTTGCATATTTATCCCTGTGCATTTGCATTTTGGCTATATATAGGTTCATTTTGAATCATTTCGGATATGAGTTTATCCAAACAAAAGAGAAAAGAAAGGAACCATGTTTGAGAGTGAAACCATGAAGTTGCTTATGATGAGAAAAAGAGAGTAAAATATGAGAGAATTTTTGTGATACGAGTCGCCGAGCGAGCACATTTGATCGCGGTATTATCAAATATGGTTTTGAGAATATGACAGTAAAACACACAAAACAATTTAATTGGCGAAGGAAAATACATTCTCTAGATTATGAAGAATAAAAGATTATAGAATCTCTCTCACACAATCTCTCTAGAATAAAGAACAACTTCTCTATCCTCACTAAACTCTAATATCTTGATTAGAATCTCCCCTCTGATGTTTAGAAACCCTAAATAATCCCTATTTATAGGGTAAAACAACATGGATGACAAAATCGTAAATAACCAAGTCAAAACCCAATCAGGATTTGTCTCAAAACATAGTCCAACTCGGCCCAGGAAACTGATCTGGTCGACCGATGTACCACTACCGGTCGACCGATGTACCACTACCGGTCGATCGGTCTCCCACTATCGGTCGACCAACAAGTGTGTCTCGGTCGACCGACCAGAGAACACGTTTCTCGTCCTGTAGTGTGCACTAATCCGGTCGACCGGTGCTGAGTGTTCGGTCGACCAGCCAGAGACTTGTTGCCAGATTCCTGATTTCGTCGTTTTCCTGCTTTTGACCGCTTTCGCCATCACCAACGACTCCACCCACGCCTTTATTCTCAAACTCCCATGAGAATCATCTATCCTCAAACTCCCATGAGGATCGCTAAGTTCCCGAAGCAAGGAAGAAGATACACACCAGTATCATGGCTCCCCACTTTAGGAACTTGAAGTCTCGTTCAAGTTAGAACTCCAGCTGAGGAAGCTCTTGAGCTCCTCCTTCCCTGTTGAACCACCTGGCTTTGCTAGGAGCCTGACCTTGACGTCCAATCAAAAACGACTCTTTCGTCCCCCGTCTCGTCGTAGTCACCTTTTCGCTCCAAATTGTAATCCTCTTTCAGTGGTTTTTCATAAGGCCTAATGAACAGCGATATAAACTTCTTGCTTGCATTCACTAGCCTCTTCGCTCGGTTTACCGTCACCAAGTTTGTCTCATTCGGAAGAGATGCCGAACAAAATATGAACTTCTCACCGTCTTTGGTGAATGTGTACTTCTGAGCCCGTCTTTCGTAGATTGCGTATCTATCACACAAATACGGATTGCCCAGTATAACTTGACAAACATCCAATAGAACTACGTCGCACGTGACCTCATCAATATACAACTTATGGAGTGCAAATCTGAAAATACATAGATTATCACACTCAGCCCCGCCTCCTTCTGAATCCACCCCAATGGATAGGGCTCTGGATGCTTGATCGTCTTCAGACCCAGTTTCTGAACCAAGGCCTTGGATATCAAATTCTTCTCGCTGCCTGGATCAACTATGGCATCTACCAAACTGGTCTTCACCTGCAACTTAAGAACAAAGAGCTGCTCTATGGGGTCTTCGTCCTTCTTCGCGACCTGCTTCCCTGTCATAAGGTTGAAACTGCTGTTGGGCTCTGTCATCCCTGAGATTTCCTTCGGATCTTGTGCTATCACGTATTTCTTTTTCTCTTTCTTCTTCTTCAACCCCTTTGGTTTGAGATGAGGATACTTCTCTCAGCACCGATCAGCTACGTGCCATGTCTTCTCGTAATGACTACAAATTAGTCATGTTTTCCCTGGATTACCCTTCTTCTCCTCCTCCTTAGGTTGGAACCACTAGACTCGCCTCCAGTTTGCTTGGCTTCTCCCTTCGTCTCGTTGCTCTTGTTTTGTTTGCCTTCAATGGCAATAGCCTTCACGCTCGCCTCTGCAATCGACTCAACCCTGAACAACTTCATCTCCTTTCGGATATATTCGTTTAGACCCGCCATATACTTTATAAAAATAGAGTACTCATCTGTTGCGATGTTAAGGACCATCGCCAGCTGCTAGAACTCCATGGTGTGTTCTTGAACGGTCTGATTGAATCTTTGGCGCAAGCCGTACCACTTGTACCAACGCTCTTCAAGGAATCCCACCGGATAGAACTGCTTCCTTAGTAGCTCATTGAACTTGTTCCACGACACCGCTTTCTTCTCCTACTTATAGTAGGATTTCCACCACGTCAATGCGTGTTTGGATAGCTTTAATGTCGCAAAAACAATCTTCTCCTTTGACGAATAGCCATAAAGAGTGAAATAGGTCTCCGTACGCTCGATCCAATCATCAAACCTCTCCACGTCAACACTCCCATCATAAACAAGAATCTCAACTCTGAAATCAATCTTCAGATTCTGGTAAGAACGCTTACCCCCTTGATGCGGAACAGTCTTGACGGCCTCGATCTCCTCGTTGGAATTTGAATTCTCACTACCTTCATCGGATTCTATAGGTTTCTTTTTGGGCCCCGCTGAAGATTCACCTTTCTTTTCGTCTCCATGGATGAGATCGAAGAGCTTCATGAGAGTCGAACTGATTGCTTCGATCTGTTTTTCCATCACATCAAGTCTTGCCTTGATGAATTGTCACTTTCTGTCATCTTCTTCTTCCTTGATTTCTGGACTTCTTCCAAAGACACAAGGATCTCGCCTAGTTTCTTGTATTGCGATCGAGTAAGGACCATACACAGGATACTCCTTCACAGGATCTGATTGCTTTGATACCAACTTGATACTAGTCGCCGAGCGAGCATCTTTGATCGCAAAATTATCAAAGGTGGTTTTGAGAAGATGACAGTAAAACAAACAAAACAATTCAATTGGTGAAGGAAAATATATTCACTAGATTATGAAGAATAAAAGATTACAGAATCTCTCTCTCATAATCTCTCTAGAATAAAGAACAATTTCTCTATCCTCACTAAACTCTTATCTCTTGATTAGAATCTCTCCTCTGATGTTTAGAAACCCTAAACAATCCCTATTTATAAGGTAAACAACGTGGATGGTAAAATCGTAAATAACCAAGTCAAAACCCAATCAGGATTCGTCTCAAAACAGAGTCCAACTCAGCCCAGGAAACTGATACGATCGACCGATGTACCAATACCGGTCGACCGGTCTCCCACTATCGGTCGACCGACAAGTGTGTCTCGATCGACCGACCAGAGAACACGTTTCTCGTCCTGTAGTGTGCGCTAATCCGGTTGACCGATGCTGAGTGTTCAGACGACCGGCCAGAGACTTGTCGCCATATTCCTGATTTCACCGTTTTCCTGCTTTTGACCACTTTCGCCACCACCAACGACTCCACCCAGGCCTCTATTCTCAAACTCCCATGAGAATCATCTATCTTCAAGCTCCCATGAGAATTGCTAAGCTCCCGAAACAAGGAAGAAGATACACCCATATCATTTTGCTCATATTTTTCAAACTTTTCTTGGTAGTTTTGGATTATTAATCCCTATATAGTGTGGATTGATGTACTCAGTGTATGTTGAAGTTTTGTAGTCTCTATTACTAGTAGTTACGATTGCTCGAATTTGCCTCATGTTTTTCCCCCTCTATTTTTCATTTTCCACATTATATCTTAGTGTTGCTCTTCTACTAGTCTCCTTTCTTCTGCTTCGAATTCCAAATATCTTGGCATAGATTGCTAAAAATAAAGATTAAAGGGAATGAATCATCACCTGCTATGTTGGAATAGTCAGAGGATAATTTTCTTTCCACTACGCAACCAATATCAGTATCTGATAACATGGAGGAAACACAAAGGTATTCTATTAGTCATTTACAACAGTGGCCATAAAAAAAGAAATTTTGAAAAAATATAATCATGTTATTCCATAATCCTCTCCAAATGTCATTACATCCTTCCTGCATTCTCTCGCATCACCATTTTAGTAGAATGTTGTAAGCTTAACAAAGGAAATGAAAGCTCTAGATTTTTTGAAGGGAAAAGGAAATCCCAAGACTTAAGTTCAACATTCATTTAAAAATCAAACATAGTTGAAAAGAGGTAACATTTGGAAACACTAACTCCAAGAATCCATTCTCGCTCAACATTCTCGTGCTATAATCCTGTGGCGTGTACATGTATAGGGTTTCTACAGACGTATGGTATCATAAAGCTTCTCTAACAGACTCAGACTCGCATTCATCCCTCGGCTTCACAATCAATGTACATAATCTGTAACAAATGGAGATACCCTTTCTGTCTCTAAATACTACACAATCTCGAAGAACTCGTGCTTACAGAAGGCCTTTGGGAAAGAATCAAATGCTGAGACATCGAAGCTCAATTTATCGGAAAATAAAAATCACCCAAATTAATAACTATCCAACGTTTAGTTTTTTGCTGGGACACGTGTCGTCTTCTGATTTTCTATAGGGCCTCGCATACGTTTTTTTTTCCCCTCCAAATTTATCCCATCAAACTTTTGAAATCCATATGGTAACAGGTAGGATTGCAGGGATATGGACAATCCACAACTTTCACCTCTCTTCTGCCAAAGTACCAGTCTCCAACTGCTTCTGCAATTGTCTGCTTGGAAGCACATAACCAGCCAAAATCAGCAAGTCAATATATTTTGTGAATAAAATACAGTTCAGGATGCATGCTATACCTCTGTGCAAACTGTTTGGCCTAAAAGCTACCGAATAATATATCACATGGGTAGTGATCATTTCGTTGTCAGTACTACATGAATTTGGAATTGTGACATGAAATGAGATGGAGAATGATGACAGCAAGACAAGGGAGAACTAGGTAACAAGAATAACATTAACGCTATTCTAGAAAAAATAAAATAAAAGCATAAATAAAAGGCTTAATTGCAGAAAGTGAGTAGTCACCTATAGCCATACACTATTTTATTAGCATTTACGACCCTTGTAAATTGAACACTAAATGATATTATTTTCAAATTTAGGTTGAGATATCAAACGTGAGAACCATGGGATGATAAGCTACTTTTTGCCCTCAGTTTAACTATAAAAACGAAAAAACAAATTGCCCTCTCAATCAAGAGCAAAAAGTTACTCCGTATGACATTCAGGTTTAGGGGTGAATGGGCTACACCACCATAGGATAAGGGGGTGAATCCACAATTAACCTTATACGTGCAAAGGAAAAACTGATGATAAAGAATATAAATGTTCAGGAGAAACTAACAGTGAAGGGATCAAATACCTTATTGTTGATTCGTGGCGATATTGGAGAATGCCATGTGAGATTGCTCATTGTCTGGCAGTGTATGTAGCAAGAATTAATAAACATTCCTGCATCCTTCTTGTGCTGAAATTCACTCAAGGCATCAAGCAAGGATGTTCTAAAACCTGTTAAGAAAATCATAATATTCTGTGACATCAAGAAATAATCTTTAATTTCTTAAAAGCATGCATAACAGCCTTCTAAATTGCATCGAAGAGGAAATTTATGACTATAACCTTGCAGTATTTCAATCTGATTGGAGTCGCAACTATGAATGTTCTGCTTACACCTCAGCCAGTGCCGTTTAGTATCAGATGCTTCTGGTACTAAAATATGTTGTATCTGGAGTATGCTAAATCGTAATTTGGTAATATCAATTTTAAGAAATACGTTAAGATAAACAAAAGGAAATGTAGGAGACAATTACTTGCCTGCCAAAAATCATAAGCAGGGTTAAGAATAAAAAATGGGGTCTTTATTCTCTTGATAAGCTCACGAGGAAAAACACACTGAATAAAGATAGACAAGGATGCATGTCAAACAAGATCTTGCAAAAACATCAAAGGTTGATAAACCAACCAGTCGCTAGAGGTAAAACTATTACAATAACAAGACTGAAGGGTTACCTGTGAGGGTTCCATCTTTTTTGTGCAATCAGTTGGCAAGTTCTTCCCCACATTCTGGAAGGAAATTGAAAATAACAGATTCACAAATATCATATAAGAAAATAATAGCCTGAAATTTACCTGATACTGATCAACCAGGTGCAAAGGCTTTGTATGACAGATCAGGAAAAAATTGACCTCGTAGAATACGTAAATAGAAATTTTTAAAAATTTAATAAGCGCTACGAGTGTTACCCAAATGAGATTTATACTTAAAATAGTTTCTTATGCTGGATTAGTTAGCTAGATCATTAGTTAAACTACTTAATTAGCTAGGCTACCCTCCCTCCATCTCTCACTGAAAATGAATACACATAAACACACCACTTCATCTCCCCCATCTCCTACTCATCCTATACGTTGACACCACAGCTCAATGAAATGGCAAAACCTATCCCCTCCTGTCCGTAAGTCACATGTAACATTGAGCATACCTGAAGAGCGATAACTTCATTGAAGAAAGACTGCATGGTTCTTTTCCCAGAAACATCTTTTCTGCAATAAACATGTAATCAATGAAAGAGAGGTAAAACTCCTAGGCTAAAACAAGGAAAGTTGAAAGATGAAACCATAGGTTATTCAGTTATCATGCACTGAAGTATAATATTAATTTATTCTGCATATCTAGACTATGAGGAGACCAAAATCTTGTTTATAATGACTAATAGGAACTCCCTTTAAGTTCACAAAAACATTGTGATGTTGTTCGAGAAATTAAGAATGCCAGTGAAATGATTTTCATAGGCTGACACAATGATTTGGGACAAAAGCTTTATTCTGGTTAAGCAGAATTGATTCACTGAAAGTACTTATACATTTTCATTCAAAACCAGGGACAAAAGCAGTAGCAAGACTAATTTCATTACATTGATGTCATGAATGATGTATCATTATTTAAGTATCCAGTGGTGGCTGGACAAATCCACCCTTCTTCATGGGTAAAGAGCAAATACGATATTTGATTTTCTTTAGTAAATCTTCAAAGTAACAGTTCAGATTTTCGTCCTGATAACAGGAAATACACTGTGGACAAGCATGTGTTGCTGTCAACCATGATTGTATTGTTGATGAAGATCTGAAGCTCTTCTGGTAAGATGTTGTCTATGGGTAATTACTTAATGTAGAAATGTGCACATAATACATACTTAGAAGACAAGGTATATTTGAGCATGAATTTTTTAATATTTATTACTTATGATCCACTGCACATAAATTAACATATTTTGAATAACAATTTGTAGCATCAAATAGGGTAAGAAAATTATTTCCTTCTATTTTCTCAAGTATTCTCAGTTAACAAAAGACCTTTAGGAGGAATGCCAAAATCTATCTGGTGATATTGAAAAACCGATAGCAATCAATTGCTATGGCAAGTATTCTTCAAGTCCCCAAAGTAAATATATATTTCTTAGATAAGAAAATTTTCATAATCCATATCAACATTTAGAAGCCTATGCTTCTGCCAGACCCGATCAACTATGACCTCCATGAAAGAATAACAGTTAATATACATTGTAACATTAGACTTCGCATAGAAAGTTGATTGCTTGAATGCAAACAAATCGTGAGGAGCTAACTAAGCCAGTAATTGTTGAAATTCATAAAAGAAACATACTCATCGAGGAAAAAACCAGCATCTGAAAGGCATTTAACAACAGCATCCTTAGGCATAAGTGCACGAAAACTGTCACAATGTATAAAAGTCGCAAGACCACCAGCAGAACATCCTGTAAGAAAAGCCTATAAGAGAAAAAAAATTCATTAAGATCATTGCTGACTATATTAACACAAAATGAACATTTGTATGTAGTGACTACGACTTTCAGACATTTTAAAGGTTTCATAACAAAATGAACCAGGTCACAAAACCAAAGACACTAGAGGGCTAGGTTCTTTGAAATAAAGAATTTAGGCTGTTACAAGTAATATCACAAAAGTACAAAACTATGAAATATTAATGTGGAATATCCAAACAATTAGATGCCTTCTCCACAACCGTCTAATACTTCTTTATAAAAGATGTCAAGTCAAAGTTAGTCCCCAAATGATCTCATTAAAGCACGAGCACCTTGTCACAGTAACTGTTCAATTTTATCTCCTCATAATTAGAAAATTGTTGTCATATATTTTTTTTAAAGTTTGTTTCCGTAAAAATCTGCTAGACATATGGAAAACACTAACAATAACAATGTTGATGGCCAAGGTAACATGCTACATCATAAATGATGAAAAGAATCCAAAATTATAGAAATAACAATAAATATTTTCATCATCCAAAATTATAGAAATTACAAAATATATAACATTTGACATAAGGGGATGAATTAATCTCTTGGGGACAACTTGACGACGTGTGTGAAGTACTTCCAGAATATGATTTCAGTTTCATGTATTCTCCAGAGAACTTTATGAAATGAGGAAACATATTTCAGAACATACATTTGTGTCCAACTAAGCTAAAATGTGGTACACAACTTTTTTTTTAGGGGTGGGGGGTGGGGGGGGGGG